TTCTGTGATTCTATGACACTCGGCAGAGCCCTGCCAGGATGGCCCGTTTGCATGTCTGTGACTCCCCTCAGGGATTTGGGGAGCTCCTCTGTGGAGCAGACGGGAACAAGCCATTTTACTCCTAGTTCCCCCGCTGGGTCCTAGGATGCGAAGTCTCGCCCAGCCCCGAGAGGAGCTGTGCGCAGGACCCCGCGTGTAAGCCACGACCGTTGAGGCTGACAGATCTGCCTGCCTCTAACCCCGTCACAGAAGATGCAGTCTTTTCGAAACTCTGTTTGCAGGTGGAAAGACGTGGAGAGCTCATTGTAAGAGAAAACTGAGAGATGCATACGCTTCGATTACCGCTGTAGTTTCACACCTTGCAAGCTTCAGTTATCCTCACAGTAACTCCGGGAAGCAGGAGGGAACAGTTATTTCCCCCCATCTGTGAGGAGGGGATGAGGAGGCGATCAGTGCCTAGGGAAGCACAGGCACACAAGAAAGGTGGCTGGAGAGCTCGGGAGGTATCTGGTCCCTAGGGAGGAGGCCAGGTCTGGCCCGGAGCCTCTCAAGTCCCAGCCTAGTGCCTTCACCCCATCGTTTTACACCTCACTTCCCATTGCTACTCAGAATCGAAGTACAGCAAGTCTTACTCCTCTAATTATTACCATAAGGCTGGTGACAGCTGAGCAAAAACGTTGTAGCTCTGGGTTTCTAGAGAGCTAACAGAAGTGCCTCACAAACTCCGAGCACAAGTACACGGGAGGAGGTTTGCATCTCCCGAAATCTCCTCTTTTGCAACAGAAGACGGACTTGAATTCATGTAGTAATTCTTTGCTCGGTTCTAGGTGTCCCTGCCCATGGCAGGGTGGTTGGAACTGGATGATCTTTAAGGTCCCTTCCAACCCAAACCACCCTGTGATTCTATGATTTACCTTGGACAAGAGACGTTTTCGGGCTTCAGTATTACGAAAATGTAAAGTTGGCACATCCTTTTACTGTAATATATCTCTTCCAGCACTTTTTTAGCTATAAAGACTATTTATTGGATAGCTTGAAGAAATGCTGCGTGACTCTGAGCTCACCCCGATAGGCTCTGACGTAACGTGTAAGGTAACCTCCGGCTGCAGCAGGCGATACCAGCCTACAGGACTGCTGTTCAACTGCCCTGCACCTTCCTCATTTCTCAACTAATTTACTTTTTTTTTTTTTCCCTAATGACAGCAATAACCCTTCCCAAGACCTTCAGACATGAATTTCCTCTTCCTCTGTGTGCATGATCTTGGCAACACGGATGGCTAAAGCAACTATGCTGCTCTACTCTTCTCCTACCACTTCTCTCCGTGCACCTGTATGTTTCTCCCAGTACGCACCATTGACGGGAGTGGTCCATCTCTGAGTTAATGTAGAGGTACCCTGCTGATTTTGTTCCAGATACCGGTAACTTTATCTGTAAATGTAAAAGTATGGTAATGATTCAGTGAAGCATGTTACCAAAACGGACACTTATTCCTTCTACAGTCAAAGGCGCAACACTTAAACCCTAATTTCACATTTTTTTAAGGTATTTCAGAGGTTCACTAAGCTTTTCAAATGGCTAATGTGTGCATGGCTATACAAGTATGCCTGCTCTGCCACGTATTACTCTCTGCTGAAAGAATGTACTGTGTTACACCTGCAACCCCCAGGGAAAACCGCTCACTCTCCGAAATGTTTATGAGCAAACACCTTCCCCTACCAGAAGCATGGTGATCCTAGAGGTGATCTGCTCTGTGCTAGAGCTCCCCATAACCATAACGAGCCCATAGGTTGAGATCCTCTACACGTCAGTCCATTAACGTGCGCGGAGGCAATGAGATGGTCAACGATGTTTCTCAGTGTCACCAATGCTACCACTCGGTTGTTTAACACAGCTAGGAGCTGCAGCAATGACCACAGCTAACTGCACTCTGTCCATGCTTGAATAAAAGGAGTGTTTGGAGCGTAGCGTTTGCTGGTGGTACTGCAATCACAGAGGGAAAATGCCAGGGGTTCTCCCACTGGCCCAGTAGGCAGGAGCAGGGGATGATGTGGAGTCAGTAAATTAATCACCACTGATGGCTATATCATGGATCAACTAGCTTATTTCATGAGAACGTGAATGCTCAGGAGCATGAAAAAGCAGAGAAGAAAGTTGGTGGTTTTTCATCCTGGGTGAGGTCAGCCGAAGGCAGGGTTTGACCTCACCCTGAGTCACCCAAGCAACCAGCATTCTTTAAAGGTGACACAAGGAAACATCAGTGGGAGAGGTTCTCTTCTTCTTTTCAATCAGTGTAAGAGGTTGTGCTTTTTTCCCCACATTTTTGACCTTAACATATGTTGCCGTGTAGAATCTCTAAAACTTGGGACGTTGGGAAATGTTTTGGCCCAGGGTATCGTGGCTGAAGCGAGATGGAAAGTGGATTTTTATGAGAGTTGGTTAAAGGTTGATTTTTCTTTTTCTTTGTTTTCCTTGCCCTTACAGACACACACACACCCCCTCCCCGCCCCATCCTTTCACTGCACCATCTGCCCCACTCCTTACTTCCCTTGCTGGTGCCCAGGACTCAGAACTTATCACCAGGAGGAACAAAATGACCCAAATGTGACTAGATCTCTCAGCAAGTTGACTGGAGAGGTCAATAGGGACTTTCTGCATCACCAGCAAAACCAGGGAAGAGCAGCCTGGATTAACGGTAAAAACACTGACGGAAAGGCCTCTTCAGGCACCAACCCAGTGTGGAAGTGGCCTTGTGTTTGAGAGGTTTGCCTCGCCCCAACCCTGGGCTGATGCAAGGCAGCCTTGCCCAACACTTCAGCGCCCAAGCGCAGCGTTCTCCGGGCACTACGCAACCCCGGGGTTCGGCAGCCGTCCCCCGTGGCGCAGGCTCGCGGGTGCTTTCAAACGCCCCGC